GGACGTAGGCAAAACATGCCTCAACCCAGAAACACTCAAGCAATTCACAAGACACTATGCAAATTGAAGTTGAAAAAATAACTGAAATTTCCTTAGTAAAGTGACCAACCGGCCAAAGTTCAACAAAAAGAAAACGGTCAAGCAAGACCAATTATTCTAAATGAGAAAGCAGACTACAAAAGCTGAAAAGAAATAAAGAAGTCTTCATCTACTCCGAGACGCCAGCAAAAGATCCTTGATCTGCAGCCACTTCAGCGTCCGTCTGATCAGCCACACTCTCAGCAGCTCCACCTGCCTGATCCTCCACGTCTACCCTCACCTCCTTTTTGAAGGAGAAGAAATGTTGCTTCCTTTTGTTTTTCCAAGGAAAGACTTAGGAAAGTATCAAGATCGCCAGCCTGACGGATTTGATGAACCAGCTCAGCACAAGTGGATGGACTTGACAGAAAGTTCATTTTGAGCAGATCAAACACGCCTGCATCCTCTGCAGGGGTGGACTTGTCCACCTTGGGATCAGCTGCTGACGTTGTAGAAGAGCCCTTCGCCTAGGCAAATGACTCTCTTGCTTTCTTAGCCTCTGTCAACCTCACTTCCAAAGGAATTGGCGACAATGAATCCACTCCATGCTTGACTGCTCGTGACTCAACAGTTGAAACGTGATGGTTGGATGGATGAGCAGACTGCCCAGATCCACTTCCAATCTTCGACTGGTACAAACGACTCAAATTTCAAAAAGGAGCATCCGCATCTCTTTGCCTCTCAACAAGTGAGCTAGATCGCGCAAGGACTACTTTACAAAGCATATCACGATCTCCAAACTCATTAGGCTTGAGCTCTCGAAGACTGACATCAGCCTTCCTCTTTTAGGGGAGTTTAGCAAAACACTCCTCATGTCCAACAGGCAAATCATCAAGGCTCGGACCATCATGCTTCCATCTATCGACATCCTTAGCAGGGGGCAGTCCACCAACTTCCTCCTGATCGTCGCTCAGCAGCCGCCAGCGGCCACCGCCGCTCCAATCATCTTTGGCCGCCAGTCACGACGACAACCAGCCTGGTCCCACCCAACTGGTCCTCGCCTTGAAAAAGAGAAGACGAAGAAAAATTTACGTGCTCGACTTATTTTGGGATGCATGTCAACTCCTCTCTTCGACAAGCAGTACAAAATTCTCCAAAATCTTTCTCAAGCTAGAAAGTAGAGAAGTTAAGTTTGCGATGTAAGAAAGAGTGAAGAGAAGCCCTGTATTTATACAAGTTGGACAACCCGGGTCAAGAAGGAATCTCAAGCTCTTTCCTACTGGGAATTCGACTCCAACAACAGTCAGAAGCCTACACCAATTGAGAATCCAATCTGCAAAAGGAGTTCAACTCACAGAAGAAAGCCCAGACTCAGTTGGAAAGCCCGAAAAAAATAATTTCATCTCCTACATGCCACACAAGCGTCACGCAGAAGCTGGAGGGCATTTGTGGGAGCAGATATTTTCGTCTCCAATCACAGCACGCCACGTGGAAAAGAAGATTATCTCTTTTAATTAATTAATTGAACCAGTTTATCTGGCCAATTAATTAATTGGGATAAATATCTTAATTAAATGATATTATCTCTTTTTATGAAGATAGTATCTGAGATAATGACATTATCTTCTCTTTATTAGGATAATATCTTAATTAATGATATTATCTTATTAAATAAAGATAATATCATTTAATTAAGATATTTATCCCAATTAATTAATTGG